CAAGTGTTTTGAGCACCCGGAGTGAATATTCCATAAATAACAGGCATGATAGACCCCTCACTACAGCTAACATTTTAATAACATCTTTGGCTTTTTGAGCACTTACTGACTGTCAGGCATCATGCCATGTAGAATCGTGCCCAAGAACACAGACTTTCAATTTGGGCAGACTGGAGTAGGAATCCCAGCTTCGGCACTTATTGTTGATGTGCATGAGCAGGCTGCAAAACCTCATGTACTACTAGTAGGTTCCTCGTCTGCAAACAAGGTGCACGGTAGCACGTTCTTACTGAATAATGCAAGTGCTGCATTTACACTGTGTGTCATGCAGAAAGTTTTCCACGACAATAGTCATTATTGCTCATTTTATGGGCCATTGTGGGTGTGACCTCACTTGACATTTAGGAAGAGCCCTTAAGAAATGAGGAATATCACCCCAATTTTATAAGTGATAGAGGTGATTTGGCCAAAGACAAAGCTAGTGATAGAGACAGTGGTTAAACTTGGAATTGGCTTCTAAACCATAAACTCCCTTAATCTGACTATGGATCCCATGTTAAAGAGGACATTTGTAAGAATTCTCTCCTGATAATCATAGAATTCAAGCCAGCAACATAGACAAGACATGGTGCTTAGTATATAATATAGGTGAAAAGCAGAGGTTAAGCTTTAATAGAGTGATGTACTGGTTTTACCATTTAAACATTGTGTATTCAAAGTCACATAGATAACTATTCTATTAGCTTGAATGCTTCTTTAAGAAATAGTACCTACCTTGAGATAGGTTGAGGATTGTGTGTATAATGCATGTAAACAAAATTTGCATAAAATATAACATATAGTAAATACCCAAAAGAAATGTCAGGTGTTATGATTATTTCTCTACATCAGACAGCAACAAAACAGCACCGATAAGATTAAGCCAGTGTCTTCCCAGAGCTTCAATAGAGCTGCAGTGGTATTAATAGCCATTGTCTCTGTGGATTCACTCAGCATCATGCATAGTAATATTGATTACTACTTATATATTGCATCCATTCTTTAAGATTGATGTGATCAGTAAGTTTTACATGTAAGGAAATTAAGGCTTAGAGATGTTAAGGGACTCAGTCAAGGTCAAAGTAAGAGGAAGCAGGAATAGTGGGGGAGACCGAGTTCTGAGTCTGTTCAACCCAATTCCAGGCTTCTCCTTTTTTCTTGGCATCTAGCTTTCTGGATAGCTGAAAGAGCGCAGCTAGAATAGGGTAAAGGAATGAGATGACAGTCCACTGTCTTTCTCTGGCCCAGGTTCACTGAGAACCTCCATATTGCCCCATCCTTTGGGATATTAATAATCACATGATGGCCTATTAGGGGACGAGGGATCTGCTCAATTCAGGACTTAACAAGCTTAAGGAGCATTTGGCCCCACCCAGAGAGTTATGGTTTGTGGAAGGTTATAGGGACTGAGAGGGAAATGATTTTCCTGCATGACAGGCAGGATTAGTGGGGACAGGAGACAGAGCTTGTGGAATTTCAACTGCACACCTCCTTCTTTGAGAATTAATGGTATAACTTTTGTCTTCTCACAAACCATCTCAAATTTTACCAAAGATGAAGAACGTGACTCATGCCATAGCTATATGATGAATTTGGAAGGTGGGAAAGCCTGATGTGAGTTTGGAAGGTGGGAAAGCCTGATGTGAGTTTGGAAGGTGGGAAAGCCCTATATGAATTTGGAAGGTGGGAAAGCCTGTTGTGAGTTTGGAAGGTGGGAAAGCCTGTTGTGAGTTTGGAAGTGGGAAAGCCTGATGTGAATTTGGAAGGTGGGAAAGCCTGATGTGAGTTTGGAAGGTGGGAAAGCCTGGCCCCAGACCATCCTCTTTGTTTGCTGTGCATCCATGTCAAGTGAATCTGCTGAGTCTCAGCCTTCTCATCTGGAAGAGAAGACATTCTTCAGCCATTCTGAAAACTGTTCACAGTAGCTACTTGGAGGAGAGAGAGGCAAACAGATGTCTTTTTGTTCTTGTTGAGCTGTGTGTGGCTAAGAGAACAAGGAAATAGCCTGGATATCTGCGTTCCTACATCTCTGACGGTCCAAGGGACCACAGAGCCTATTGTGGACCTCAGTTTATCTAAGTAAAGAGTATAATAAGTAAGAGAGTATAATAAATCAGAATATCTTGAAAATTTCAACTAAATTATCCTTAATAAAAAATGTAAGTATTTTTGTATGATCCCAATCCAAACTTCTCTGATTCAAGGGCTTGGAGTAGCTACACAATAAACGTGAGTATAAGCTCCATTCTATAAATAACAAAAACAGGCAGGCACCAGATTTAAATATTTTATACAGCATCATGTGTACAGGGGATGTGGCAAATGGGCAGTTCATACCCAGGCTCTCAAGGTTCCAGAATCTCCTGACTTCTACCTCTTGAGGTGGGCAACATTCTCAGTGGCTGGCCCCGTCTCGGAGAAGTCACATACCATCAACAACCACCTTTGGGTTCAGTGCCTCCAAGACATGACTATTTTCTGGGGATTGGAACAGGACAGAAAAGAATCCCAGTACTGAGAACCAGAGCTAGGTAGATACAGGGGCTTGTTGGCCAGCTTATCTAATCAGTGAGTTCTAGGTTTGGTGAGAGATATTCTCAATAAATAAGTTGTAACTGTAAGTGACTACTGTGTGGAGTATTCCAGCTTCCCTATCTCTTGCTCGGCAGGCAAATCCTGAGTTACAGGGAATTTCTGTGGCATCTGGTTCATGTTGAGTTGTAAGTTGTTCTTTCAAGCTGAACTCACTGAGCAAAGAAGAAAGGGGTGCTATCCCAGAGATACCGTCTGTTACTGGAACCCACACTAGGCGTGTAGTAAGAAAAAGTACATTCAAGTCTCATTTATAATTAAGATAATCTGATATAGGTCACTGGGTTATAGGAAAATGTATGTAAGCAAATGTTTTGGCACAACATGGAAAATAACTAATAAACATTAATCAAAGCTGAGTCTCAGGCTCAAACGTTAAAGACAGAAGAGCAGTCACACATTTCACCCCTTCTTAACATGCTGTGTTAAAGCCCACGAGGACTCGAGCAAGCACCCTGAAATGGTGTTTACAAATTTGCACCCCAAAGTTAGCATGCAGGCACCCACTCGGGTTGGCATATGGCTGCATCATTTGCTAAATATATATATGGAAAAAGTCTATCACACTCATTCCTTGAATAACACAAAGGCCTTGATTTGTTCCTACACGTGATGAGCATGCGTTAGGTCCAAAATTAACGTTGCTATCTGGCTTGGATGTGTGTATGTTTTTCCAAAAAGAGAAAATTTCTACGATCTCACTCAGCCTTAATCAGAATGTCTACTGCAGTGTTAGCTGACAAGGAAAAAAGGAAAAGAAATGAAAAGTTCTGCTCCACTGTGGACTCTGCATAAATAAAGACTTGATGTAAGGAAGAACTAACTAGAGGGGTAAGAGATGGTGATTATGTAGCTCGCTCATCTCTCTGAGATCTACTTTTCTCTTGCATAGTTTTCCTTCTTTCATGTATCTGGCAGAACTATTCTAAAGGATAAATGGAGAAAGTAGCTGAAAGTAGCTCCTGCTTTGAGGGGCATAATATTAGGGGATAACGTATGTTGAGATTATCAAATGTTATTCCAAGTCCATTAACTGTGCTTTCTGCATACTGGATGTGTTTGTTGCTTGCTTTCTCTTTACAATGCAAAACCATGAACTGTAGGGCCTGAGACATATCTCAGTAGATAAAATGCTTACTGCACAAGCATGAAAACCTGAGTTTGGATCCCCATCAGCTACATGAAAAGTCAAGTGTGGCTGCATGCACCTGTATTACCAGCACTGGAAGCCAGGGGCAGGAAGACCTCAGGGGTTTGCTGGTCAGCCAATCTAGTTAATCAGTGATGTCTAGGCTCAGTGAAACACCCAAACTCAAGAAATAAGGTAGAAAGAGATAGAGGGGGATAGCAAATGCTGGCCTCTGGTCTCCACACACACAGGCACAAGAACACACACACACACACACACACACACACACACACACAACACACCACCACCACCACCACTACCACCACCACTGCAAACTGTAACTATTTAAAGAAACATTTAATATGAGACCATTTGAGTGATTTCTACCCCAGCAACCTTCTTCTCAGAGGTAACAGATTCACAGAGCTCTGTCATAGGAAGCCCCTTGATCTCACTGTGCTCCTAACCTCATCTCTAATACAAGGCCAGATCTCAGGCATTCTTGGATGAGTACAATGAAGTAATTTTCATAAATTCATAAATGTGCAGAGCACAGTGCTGAACACATGATAGATACACAAAAACTTCTCTAATTGAAAGGAAACAGGGTCTGCAGGACTCAGTGCCTGCTTTATGGCTGGCCATTTGTGGCTTTGAATACTCAAGAGCATCTCTATCTCTCACTGGCTATGAGACATTGAATAAGTTCTTCTTCCCACTACTGCACCACTCACAACAAACGTGGGGGCAATGGAGAAGTCTTTGCATATTATTGCACTGGCTACATGCTGCCTGTCTCTAAGGCTTTCCTTGTAGCAGATGTGAGACTTAAAGTCCCTGACATATCAAGGTACTCAGGAAAGGGCATCCTGTCCAAGTTTTGTTCCAACTTTGTTTGTTCAATCATTCTTGGGGAGAACAGTTATATTCTGGAGCAATGAACCCCAACCCTTGGCAAAGCAAGACAAGCACATGACAGTTGTTACATAGCTATTCCCAGAGATGTTGGTCAAAAGGCCAAAGAGTTAGAGACCCTCTATTTTCTTCTCTGAAGCATAATTAGTTTGTCATAGCTGACAGATGATGAATGTGTAGTCGGTCCAGGTGAGACCACATAATCCATATGCCTTTCTATGTATCATTCTAATATCTTGCACTGGGACATCTCTTTCCTTCCATCTGTTGGCAATTCCCTGTTTACCTCCCACCCTAGATCTTCACCCCACCCTCAGGCACTTACCATCACAGAAATGTGGAGGATGTGCATCTGCTCCTCCACAATCTCCGAAGGCTCCTGGAGTGTGGGTGCTGTGGCCCGGGCCAGCTGCCCAGAGCTGCTCATGGAGACATGAAAGTACAGCGTGCCATTCTCCAGCCACTGCTGTCTCCAGTGCACCAGGGAAATGTCCGCCGCAGTTCCAGACATCTCTGTAAGACAAGACCAAGGCTCTAGGTGAGATAAATGCTAGGTTTTCAGGCTCCTGGAAGAAAAGAGCCATGTAGCATCATGAACTCAGAAACCAACAAGTTGTGCCAGGATGTTTTTCCTTACAACAAACTCTGACCCAGAAGCCACCATTTCCATTTATAGATGGGTCAACTGTGGCCAAGATGTTCCCCAAGTAATGGTGGCAGAGGCAGGACCTGAACCCAGTGTACTTTCTTTTATGACCTCATGCATGGAAAGGTAACTCTCCTCCAACAGTGGAAACAAACCATGCAAAAAATAAATGTGGTCCATTCTTCTGAGGCTGTGCAACTAGCAGAAAATAAAAGGAGAAAATCTGTGAAAAAAAATATATATAGGAGTCCAGGAGTCCAGGTGTGAATTCCATAGAAGCTGATGTGGACGTCCTCAAGGTAAAAGCTCAGAGCTGGAACAGCTTGACAGAGCACATGACTCAGCAGGGGAATTGAGGGTCAGCATGTTTGGGAAAGGGCTGGACAATGTGCTGTTCTGATCCTTTATCCTGTGCTGATTAGAGCAGGTCCATTTTGGGTGATACATGTTTTGCACTCCAAAGCAAGAGAGCTTTACCACAAATGTATCACTGCTTTAAAGTACTTGAAGGGGCTGGAGAGATGGCTCAGTAGGTAAGAGCACTGACTGCTCTTACAGAGGACCCGGGTTTGTTTCCCAGCACCCACATGAAGGCTAACAACCATAGGTAACTCCAGCTCCAGAGGAATCTGATGCCTTCTTCCGACCTCCACAGGCATTGCATGACATGGGTGCACTTACACACATGCAGGCATAACACTCATACACATACAAATAAATAAATAAAATATTTAAAAGACTACCTGAAGGGGACTAGAGAGACAGTTCATTCCATAAGTGCTTGCCAGGCAAGCATAAGGACCCGAGTTAAGATCTCCAGCACCTTTATTTTAAAAGAATAAGACGTGACAGCATGCTTCTGCAACTCCAGTTCAGGGAGAGGGGCAGAGAGAGGTGGATCCCTGGAGCTCACTTGCCAGCCAGTCTAGCCAAATCACTGAACTCCACATTCATTGAGAGACTGTCTAAAAAAAATATAAGGTGGAAAGCCTGGCACGGCTTTCCTTTAATTCCAGCATTCATCTGGGAAGCAGAGGCAGATGGATCTCTGTGAGTACGAAGTTAGGTCAGCCTGATCTATTGGTCTATATAGTGAGTTCTAGGTCAGCCAGAACTGCATAGTGAAACACTGTCTCCAAACAACAACAACAACAACAACAAAAATCATATATGTACATGGTGGAAAGAGGCTAAGGAAGACGTATTGACCTCTGGTCCCTACACATACACAAACACAAGTACACATGTGCCCATTCCCACATATGAACATACATGAACACACACAAACACAGACACAGACACACACACGTACTTGAAAAGCAAGTGTCCACTCCACTAATTCATATAATTAGAAATGAATTTCCAGTGAATTCGCGATCTCCTATCTTGATCTCCTATCTTTTTCTCTCTGAAAACACTTTTTAAAATACTACTTAAATAGTATGTCTATTAGTATCTCTATTAAATATTATCACAGCCCACACAATCTCTTACTAGGTAACAAGGGTCATGACCTAAGTTTCAAAAGTACCCTTACTTTAAGAGTATATACTATTTCCTTAATCTCCTCTACTAAAGCAAGGCATTCCGGGAAAGATCCCAGAAAGCTTATGAGTGCATCTTATGAATAAAATAGATGGGAGATGGGATTCTGGGAGAGTTATCAGGTCTCCCCAGTTAGAATTACTCTGAGATCTAAGTAGCTTTAACAGTATCCATCAGTAGAAGTAAAGTCATAGTAGTATTTGAGGATTAGAACTCTGCCACCTTTGGTCACATAGCTGACTTGGGGACATTATTCCTACAGTCCCCAAAGATTTCATGTATATTCTCACAGACGAAGGAGAGCTGATGAGGAAGACCAAATTAGAGCTTCTCTTTATCCAATCAGCTCTTCTTATACCACACTGCGGCCCGCATCTCATCTGGTGATACTGAAGACTCATCTTGAAGAGATGAGGAGGTGGTATTGACTCACCAAATTCTATTCAATTTTCCTCATATGCTCCAATCCCAACAGACTCTAATTCCTTGAGGTTAATAATCAAAAAACCTTTAGGGGAAGCAGGCCTGCCACTTAATAGGTGCTAAGAAGAAATTTAGTTATGAATTTTTAAATTAGTTATTGATTTATAATCATCATCATCATTATTGATATGGATAGTATCTAATAAAGCCTTTGGTTGCTAAGAAACAAACTTAGAGATATCCTTGATGGTGTGTTTTCTCTCCAATGTGCCATTCTATTGGAAAATTCTTCAAAGGACATGCAACATTTCGGCATTCTTAATTCCTCTATCAAGCCACCTGGCTGAGGCCCCATTCTGTTATTTTTCTGGTTTCTTACAAGGACTTCTTAACTTAGCTAGCTCTTCTACCCTTCCCTTCCTGTTTATTCTCTAGTAGTAACTACAACAGAAGTGATTTCACAGCATTAGCCCCTCCATTCTAAATCCAACCAGGACCTCCTGCCGCATTCCAAAACAAAGACAAGGTAATGAGAAAAATGATGAGTTATAAGTCCAAGTGTACAGTCTTAGACTTCCCTTGCTACAAAAAGAATTGAACAAAGATGAAGGTAATCACAAAAGTTCATCAGCAACTTGAGTCGTAGGCCCCAAAAGGCCCCGAAAGTTCATTGTGATGTCTAGTTAGAGGACTCTGGCTGGGTCTTTCCTAGCACTTTTTCTCATTCTAAAGCTGGGGTAGTCTGTCTTCCCAACAACCCATGCTTCAGTCTCAGCCCTGGGATACTGGCAGTCTCTTCACCAGCAGCAGTCAACTGGGCCACAGCAAGGTGAAGGCATTAGGCCTAGCTCAGCATTTCACTCATTTTGCTAAGTAGATCAAAATCCAGAACCAGAGACAAAGGAAACCTACGGTTGATATTTGCCACTAATCCAGCACTGAATATGCTGACTCTATGCAATGTCACCAAGATAGCCACCTCTGGTTGGCACAGCCTGGTATAGGCAGGCAGAATAAGCCCAGAAATCAGAGCTCATTTCTCCTGGAGCTATGAAATCCCACCATGAATAGGACTTTCTCTGCCCATGATCCCATTACCCAATAGAGGGCTACAGATGGCTACTGTCTTATTTAAGGCCACTGATGATTCTTTTCTTAGCTGGACCCAGTGGTTTTCTAGTCAACACAGTTTCTACAATGCCAGTTGCACTTGCAGCGTCTCCTTTTCCTTGACTAAATTAGCCCATGAACAAAACTAGATTGAGCTCTTTGTTTGCTACAGCAATGAGTGCACAGTCAGCAGACAGTAAACGTTAAATGATAATAACAGTGTGTGAAACACAGTAAATATTGAATCACAGAGAATAGCTCTGGACTTGCTCTATTACAAAGAAACGGTTGTTGGGGCAATGGGAGGGGGAGCAAAAGACTGCAAAGAGAAAACCACTTTAGTGGAAGGAGGCTGTCATTATGCATTCACTCGTTCATTCATTGTTTCACATAGTTTTTAATTCATTCAGCATATTCAATCACAGCCCTCCTCAATCCCAGGCCATTTAACAGTCTAGAATAGGGAGCTCAGAATCCTTTGCCAGCAAAAATTCTATGCAGTTTGTTATGTTCCAGCCCCATGTCATGATCTGCACACATGCATACTGTCTGAGATTCTGCATTACGTGACCCCCTTCCTTAAATGCTCCACCTCCACAGGCCTTCATCTGTTTGTTAAATGTGCCATCTCCCTCCTGCCTCTTGTATCAGGGTGTAAGCATTCACTATCCAGTCTCCCTGGAACTCTCCTCCTAGAGATTTCAAAGTAGTTTCTCCTCAGTATTCATTCTTCAATCTAAATGACACCTGCTCTGAGAAGATGTGTCTGACTACTTGAGTTAAATTTCTCTTCTCATGTATGCATGTACATACATATCCATAATAAGATGATGGACTTAACAACAACAACAAAAAAAGAATTCAGAGTGTAAAGTCTTATTAGAGAAAGAAAGAATAAGTAAAGATCTTTTGGGAACTCAAAGGCAGGAAAGGACCCTCTAAGTTTGCAAATCGTGAACTATTCATAGAGTAGCATAGGCACAGACATGGTGGATATACAGCTGTTCTTCAGAGGAGCTAAGGAGGCAGGGATCAGCTGGATGTACACACATGCAGGAGTCCAGAAAATGTAGCCCCATCACATAAGTAGGGGCTTTGAATGCTTCTGTTGAAGCATGTATTTTATCTGGCATGCAGTAAAGAGCCAGCACAGCAAGCCTGATTAGAGAGCCGGTCCCATGTCCATTAAAAACAGGTCAAAGAAATTGTAGCATGACTAAAGCCAGCTCTTGAAATTCCCTGTTGATTGATTTTCCAATTGCATTTTCCCTTTTCTCTTCCCCTGGTCCTTCCATATAAACATTTCATTGAAGTCTTCAAGTCATATTACAATCAAACTTAAAGCAAAAGGGGGACTAAACACATTTGGTCGGGAACCAAGACGATTCCCATAAAGGCAGATTATGCTGACATGATGAATATAAAATGAAACAGCAGATATTAAAGTGGGAGAACTGGTGCACCATGCCTTCCGGCGGTAGGCTGACTCCAGAGCCTGCCTCCCTCCCACCCTGTGTAGCTCAGTTTTATATTGGATTCATAAAGAAGCACAGGGATTGCCTTTTCACCTTGCTCTGTTCTTCCCCTATGGGCTACAACTCGTGAAATATTCAACAGGCTCAAATCCCCTCAACCATCCCACAAAAGCCAAGTGAGAGGATCAGCCTTCATCAGTAATTCTGGGTAGACCGCCATCCTGCCTCAGAGGCCACTGATGCCTTTCAGCCTCCTAGAAAAGAAATAAAAAAATCCCGAAGGCATGTTGTGCTTTTAATTGGCTTGTTCTTCC